AATTATTCTCACTTAATACATATTAATACAAATATGTCATAGTAATACGATTTTTAGAATTACCACAATTGCCGCAACCCCACTAGATTGTGACGGGAGAGTATTAGCAAAAATATATTTTTTTAAATCGGGAAATCTGAGAACCAAATAAAGAATTATATCACACCATATGCTATTACATAGAGTGTAATATCTGAAAAAACCCTGTAAACTATAAATCAATACCGATTTCAATACCGTTTAACACACAATCGATTACCACGAATTAATAATGGTTAAAAGGCGCATTGTTGCGTCTTGCAAAATGTTTAAATTCATCAAGATATCTAAGAAACTAACGGAAATCTGAAGAAACCCACCATAAAATCAAAATAAATAAGAACTAAAAGTTCAGATTGTCACGAAATTATATATTATAACATGACAATTGTTTCGACAACACCGTGTCTTTATCAAATGTCACATTTGATAAAGACACGGTGTTGTCGAAACAATTGTCATGTCATAATATATAATTTCGTGAAAATCTGAACTTTTAGTTCTTATTTATTTTGATAAATGGATTTTCATCAAATAAAAGCCACCTCAATTCACCATAAAATCTCTTAAAAAATCATTCATTAAATCATTTAAAATACGGGAGTTGAGTGCGAGATACTTCTAAGATAAAATGTAGAATAGCCTCTATTTTCGTTGGTACATCCACACCAACATCTTTTAAATTTGAACTAAATGTATAAAAATGTATTTAATTGTAGAAAAATATTCTCTCTGTTATTGTTTTTATTATTATTTTCAATTATGTATAAAATTTTTGAAATTATAAGTTTTCTGGAAAGCACAAAAATTCATAATTGCACTAGTGTATTTCGATATTAGAACAAATTAGAACAAAACTAATTACATCATGATTTCAAAATTTCCCAAAAGATAAAAATGCCCTTTGATCTTTTTAATAAGTTAAAAGACATCCGGGATAGGAGAAATGTTGCAAAACTCAATTTTTCAATTTCGCTCTGTACCTCGCAAACCATAGGGCTATGGAAATTTTATTGGTCGCATTTTTAAATTCGCAACAAAACAACCCGCTCTCGCGAAAGCCGCAACCATCTATTTTTAAAATGAAGCAAAATACCACGAACGTCGAAACATAGACACCCTTTAGTCACTACAATTAACTCAGACCTATTAATAAACGTCGTAGCCATCGAACGGTGTCATCACACGTCGTAAACGGTCCCTACCCGCATCATATAGTGCACCCTTTAGGCATTACCAATAACATTTCTATTTTAAGGTCTTTAAATTCCTGCCCGGAATACAAATGGGTGTTTACCGAGGGCCGTTCGTTACTCGGAGCGAAATGAAATGATTTAGCGCTTTTCTCGCTTCCCCGTTTAGTTATTTCAAACGTCAAAAAGAATGCCATACGTACTTTAGGACCACGAGGGGGTTGAAAATTTCACCTGGCCGTAAAAAAAGGCAAACCAAAAAAGGAACTTGGGTATGGTCGGGGATTTAATGTTTTACCTGCCCTCAAATTCTATAGATAAATATACTGAAAATGCCACGTCATGTATGAAAGGGCGAGTGGCTTTCGGAGTCGCCCGTCCATACTTAAACGCCGATTATTGTTGGACATTTAATAATTAAAAAAAAAAAAATTTCTAACTTTGTTCCAATTTAAGCGACATTGTAAGTTTAAGTAAGTATATATATATATATATATATATATATATATATATATATATATATATATATATATATAATATAAAATGGATATTCATAAACCAGACTACTTTTAATAGGCGACTCATTGTTTTGGTTAGTTTTAGTTTTAGACAATTCAATTCAATTCAAAGTCACATTTGTGGGTAATTAATCCGCTTAATGGGCAGCCAATGGATAATTTTTTCTTTTCCTGTCGATTTGGTACACTTTTATTAAGCTTAGAATGATATCGTCCTTTATCCAAAATAATTAAAGAGAGCTTTTCGAGTTTTTCAAAATGGCGACCCTGTTTTGTAGTGGCAACTACTGTAATTATCCGGTAATTGGTGCTATCTCCGTCGAGTGTACCACACCGGGGCGTAATAGATAAAGGTAGACCACTGGCAGGTAAATGGGTGGATTTTGTCATTCCTAGTATACCAGTGAGATCAGGTAAAATATTGAAGCACATTCTCTCTTGACCTCTTATGACCTCTTATGACCAACTATACCATCGCAAGTCGTACCGATTATATATAACATAATTGACACCTTTTCTCTAAACATAAAAAAAAATCTATATATTTTTCGCAGATTAATATTGATAATGGTAGACACGAAGCAATTTACTTTTAATTATTTGAATTGGTATTTTAAACAAATTGTATTGATTGATTGGTTACCAAGGCCTGTGGGTAATGATTACTTAAGTGCTTTTTGGTATAATAAGGACATATTGAAAGCTGGAAGCTAAATAATATGCGAAATGTGTTGCTCACAACAATTAAACAATTTGTGGGTTCAAATTCTTTTCTTTTTATATAATCTATTAAAAATGGATCAAGATACTGGAAAATATTTTTTTTAGGTCTTTATCATATGTCACCATATCAAATCGAATTATGCGTTTATGCTAAATATTTCCAGCTACGTCCTTAGGAATATATTATTTTTTCATGGGCTATCTAACAGATTTCCCAGATATTCTCGGACACTTGTCATGCTTTTATGAAACGCCCTGTATTTATTTATTTATTTGCTCTTTGGGACTCAAATAGGTTAAAGTCACAACAGTGAATCCAAATATAAGTAATAACAATAGCCATAAATAAGAAAAATACGAAAGAGGAAAAGAAAAACAATAAATGCTATGAATTGAGTTGGGCATAGAAAAGAAAAGTAACAATATAACTTCTTCTTCTTTTGTAGCTCACAACCCTTCGTGGGTCTTTGCTGCAAGTACTGCCTGCCTCCACTTGTCTCTGTCCGTACCTCCTCTCTCCAATTCTCTACTCTCAGGGTGTGCAGGTCTTTGGTAATATTGTTCCTCCATCGTAGTCTAGGTCCCCTAGAGGTCTTTTTCCGGAAGGACTTTCCTCCCAAATACGTCTATTAAGACGTTCGTTTCGGCATCTGTGGACATGTCCTAACCATCTTCGCCTGTGTGCTGTAATAACATTTAAGATTGGTGGCTCGCTGTACAAGTTTTCCAGTTCTTCGTTGATTCTAATTCGGTATTGCCCTGTTTCCTCATCCACTGTAGATCCATATATCCTCCTGAGAATTTTTCGCTCAAAGCGACTTAGCAATGCTTCATTCTGCTTTGTGATGGTCCAGGTTTCCGAGCCGTATAGCTTCCCGCAATTAATTCCTTGATCTTACTCCAGCACTCTTCTACCCCATTTCCCTCGTTACAAGGATTCTCCTGAAGTTGGGACTTATTGCTTCTTATTGCTCAACATTCCACCTTTTGCTTTCACTTTGTTCGTCTCTCTTCTTAGTGCTTTTTATTCTTGCTCTTACTTTCACTTTGACCAAGAAATGATCAGATGAGCCGTCCATGCCCCTTTGGCTTCTCACATCCAATATGTTTTTTGAGTGCCTTGCATTTGCCAGGACATGGTCCACTACCCATGTCTTTTTATAGGTATTTTTGTGGGGAACATTGTTAACATTACTATCAGGTTGTTTGCCGCTGCAAAATTTGCCAGCCTTTGACCATTATCATTCGTTTGTGCGTGTAGGCTGTGTATAAGTATTAGCAAGCATAAGTATGTCTTGCTTCGGTATTAGTTCTAATGTTTGTTCCATTTTCTCGTAGAAGTCCTCTTTTAGATTTTCATCTGTTTCCTCTGTTAGAGCATGTGTGGATATGACTGAGACTGCTGATTCGTTGGTTTACCACTTTGAAGCTCATTATTTGCCCTAGGAATTTTGAGTTGACTGCAAATCCTGTTCCAAATTCGCGTCTATTGCTTTCTGTGCCGCCATTAAATACTGTCCAATCATCCGTCATTACTGTGCCTTGTTCCGGCCACATGATTTCTTGCAACGCTGGCACGTCTATTTTATACTTTTTCAGTTGTTCTAGGATTCTTTTAGCTGCATCTGGTCTATACCAACTGAGTACATTCCATATTCCTAATGTCATGGTTCCATGTTCTTTGCTTACGTCGTTTCCTAGGGTCCGTCCGATTCCGAGCATATTGTCTTGTTTCATGACGGGTGGCTTTTTACGGGGTAGAGTTGTCAACCCTACGCCCAACCCTCCTCCTTTATCCCGGCTTGGGACCGGCACTGGCAGTTGCTGAACTACTCGATCCACCCAACATATTAACCAGAGGCGGAGTTAAAAGAACAATATAACTAATAGTTCCAATATAGCCCTAGAGAAGGCAAAAGAAAAGAAATAAAAAATACTTAGTAGACTTTAAATAAGTAAAAGCAAGGGAAGGATGCCATTCAGATAGCGAATGTCGATCGCATAGTCTAACGGTCAATGTCTCCGTTAAGATATCATGTGAGGTCGTAAGTAAAGGCTTGCAGGCGTAGCAGGAGAGAATTTTGAGAGTTATTGGTATTTTGTTACATTAAATGGAATTGTTGCCGATATCACAGAGGTCATTTAAATTTTAATGCAAGGAAGGAATATCAGTGACTACTCTTCGATCCTCCAATGTTCAGAGTTTATTCTTGCTTGCCTTCTCTACTTTAGACGATTTGCCGAATCTGTTTATCTAAGATAAATTGTATGACTGGGTGTTGAAAATATTTCTTTACTAAAGTTGTACTACACGTTTCTAGATGACAAATCACACCGTTGCACAGCTCAAGTTCCAAAGATTTTTTTATCTTTTTATACTATCAAATTGGATGGGACCAGTACAATTGGAAATATTGCTGGATCGTATAATTTTTGAGAATTGCGATATGCGATGATTGTGAGGCAGAGATATCTGTCACCCTTTGTACATCAACCAACTAAAGAAAAACTTATTTTCGTATTGCAGTGCGATCGAAAACTCTAGATGAAGATGAAGACACGTACGGGGAATTAAAAGACACGGACATACAAAAAGACGATTACTACGATGGCGACGAAGATGTAGAAGAAGAAGCGCCCGAAGAAGACAACAACGTGGACCTCAGGATAACCTCGCAGCCTCAGACGATAGTCAAAAAGCTTGGAGACAACGTCCGGTTGCCCTGCCTCGTATCGCCAGAAAAAGGTAAAAGACGTTCCATTTTGTTTTGTAATCTACAAACTACCCTCGTTCTGTAGCCGACCCGATCAGGGTATGGAGAAAAGACACAGAGGTGCTGTACCAGGGCAGTGTTCCTGTAAGCGGATCGAGAAACATGAAAATCGATAACGGATTCCTACACATTCAATTGCGGGACGTCGGCGATTTCGGAGAGTACAATTGTACGTTGATCTTAAACGAACACGACAACCCATTCGTCGTTCATAAAGTACTTCAGCAAGAGGAGCCTAGGATTATTTCTTTAACCGTAGACAACGAACAGTCAGTGGTAAGTTTAAAGATTAAACTCAAGAAAAATTTACAACTCATTTTTTTATTAAACCAAATTTTTTCAATCTGATTCCATTTTCCTATTGTTCTTTAAAGTAAGGAAAATATTGTTCTCATGAGTTTGTGCATCTGGAAAATCAGAAAATGTTTATTTCGGCTAAGAATAATAACAATTATTATACAAACTATGACACCCTGAATTTAAAGTGTTACAGAATTCCTCGACAGCTTCGCCAAAGTTCACTCTCAATGCTAGAGTTTCTTCTCACTCTCAGTTCTAGAGTTTGTTCTGGCATCGGCACTTCTTCTATTTCCAAGTCTTAGCTATGTTGGTTTATAGAGTAAGATGCGGGTCGAAAGTTAACGAATAATACGGAATAAATTAGAAAATGCAAAGACTACCACAAGGTGTAGATGCAAGGACAACTCAAAATGGTCTTATCAATTTGAGTATTTTTCTGAAAACAACACTACATAAAATGTCCACGCACTTTTCAAAAATAATATGCAAGTGTGACCAAAACAGGTAGAATAATTAGATATTTTTAAAATAGCTATTCACAATTATTATTATCAAGAAATAAAAAGTGATGCTAAATTTAACAAAACATTTCGAAAAAGGAACATTAAATGCCAATTTAACAATTAATAATAAAGGTAGGTGCATTCAGGTATGAACTTGAAACTCATTGGGATTATAAAGTTCTTAATGCCCACGCTTTTAAATATACAAAGAGGAACAAAATATTTTTCAGAAAAAAAAGAAATAAAATTCAAAACTGTTCCAATACGACTTTTGCCCAATTTTCACTTCGCATTCTTGTCCCATTTAAAGAAAATATATTAAAAAAAACAATATTTCAGATCTGATTTAGAAATAATGTATCAAAAAAAAAATTCTTAAACTACTTTAAATTTTAACAAAAAAAGTCGCTTAATTCAAGCAGTGGAAGTCTTACAAACTTGTAAAAATTGCAAAAATATAAAAAATCAGAAGATAATATAGAACAAACCCTTTTTTCTACTCCCGTCTGTAAAATATCGAACTACACACTGATCTAGCATGCGGGAAGCGTCAGTTTACACGTCAGTTTCGTTTCCCACGGATCCGAGCAACTTAGGACATTTCCGGAATTTTACCGCACGGGTTTGAGAGCAATCGGATGTTTTCGGAGAAATTTCCCACGCCTTGATTTTGACGTTTGTCAGTTCTGATGGTCATGTCAGTGCATGTATTTGCGTTGTTTTGCGAAAATGAACCCAAAACCTTACGGTCGTAGAAAAAGTATAGTATGCAACATGTTCGGTAAATTCTTTAAGTCACTCATTTATTAAACACTCGCTAATATACTATTGATGTCTTAAATGGTTAATGTAAAGTCAAATCACTTAAGCCGGTAGAAAAATTTACAAAATCTTTAAATCTAACAGAAGTGTCTTGTAAGGACTTGGAAAGTTTCCTTACAATGTCGGATTTGTCGACATAAAACTCTTCTTCTCTCTTCTTTTATAAAAAAATACGCATAAGTCGAAAGGAAAACTTTGCTTTCGCATGAACTTTTACCAAGGCAAAGTCGCTGAGATTTAAATCTTTCAGAAAAATTCAAATCCCTGTGTGAAGTGATATTTCTGACTCAGAGGAATATTGGTTTTCTGTTTTCGTCTTTTTATTTTCTTTTCTTTTAAACTTTTTTTGTAATCTGTCCTTTTCATTGAACACGTTTCTTTTGATACCTTCCTTCTTTTTTTTTCTTCAACTTTATTTTTCTTCTCGATTTTAATCCTTCTCTTGTTCGTTTCCCTTTTTTTGCGAGGAGTGCTAATGTACCAGATAAATTATTTAAAGCATCCGTTTTATCTGGGACATTTCTATCTAGATATTTTCCCCAGGCAATTTCTATCCTGCACAGGCTTGCCTTCCTCGACATTTCTAACAGAATCTACAGCTTCTTGCTCGTTATTAGTCACTATTAGTCAAGTCTTCCCCAAAGACAGCCCGTATATGCATGTCCCTGTCATTTCTATCAAGATTATCTAAATCTTCTTTCTCTTACTAATAAAATTGCTGTAATACCTTTATTAGATTTTTTTTTAAATTTGGATCAAATTTTCCAGTTTAAATTACGAAGACATAATTTCATAAATGTATTTTATTTTATTTTTCTGAAATTGCTGAATATGAGCGGTTTGTATTCTTTCCTCTTCAATTACATTTTTTCATTAGGGGTACATTTTTTACTGATAGAGATTAGTAGTAAATAAAATACACAGATCTATAAATAATATATTAAAATGATTTGTGGTTGAAGAATGTAAAAATTATCCAATGATACCAAATATTTTCTATTTTCAATTCTTGAAATTGATTGAATATAGACAAGACAATATCTGAAACTTTACAAAACAAAGCAACAATGACAAAATAATTACTTCTGTTAATGTTAGTGTAAAATTTAGAGGCCCTAGATATTTTCTCTTACATTTTCGAGATACTTTTAGGGGATGCAAAAAGTCAAAAAATGTCTTCTCATTATCACTTTCGCCCTTTTGACTTTTATGCAGCTTATCTGTTAAGGGATCTCCAAACCTGTTGTGAAAAATGCGAATCGTCTATTAGTAAAAATTTAATATCAGAACAAATACATCGCCTGAAGAATTTTTTAGTTTATTTTTTGAGTTATTATAATGTTTGTTGTTTTTAATGTTTAATTAATCGTGCCCAATGCAATTTTGAATTTAAAACACTCTCGGTTCCGTATTAATCGATATTTGTAAATATCTATTTGATTTTGACAATGTTTAAAAAGCGAAGAACAAAAAATTTAAATGGATGCAGGCTATTTCAGCTCCTTTAATAAGGAAAATATCGTGGCATTTCACCCTATATAATGCAGAAACGACTTTTTGCCAGTTTTGGGTAAGATAGTAAAATAATGGTATTTACAAATCTTCTAGATTCCTCCTACGGAAACGGGCTCGGATTTTACTCTTTACCTGCGTATATATTTTTTGAGAGGTGTGGAGTTAAAGGAGCGGCATGAACATTGTCTCGAATGACTCAACCCGAGTCACTGAATCAAGAATTAAAATACCTTACATCTGGTCATTTCACTTCACCACAACCTTCCAAAGACAATGATTCCGAAAACAACCCCACAGCTGCCTCTGTTGTCCTTCCTTACCTTCAAAATCTGATTACATATCAAAAGTTCTTAAGAAATATAACGTGATAACTAAATTTACGACTTGTCAAAAAACCTTTCAACATCTTCGAATATAAGAGAGCTTTAAGACTACTATCAATAAACTCCTCAACAGTTGCCGAACACGATCATGGAACCGAAATATCAAATCTTGTTCGATAAAACTAAAATTCTTGCATGTAATCAAATATTCTACCAAAGAAAAATCCCAGATTTCATAGAAATCTATAAACAACCAAACAATTCTTACCGCGACTCGGGTCATTACTTTTCACCAACTTTTCACCAATCAATCATTCGAGATAATGTTCACGCCCCTCTTTTGGCTCAAACAATATACTTGTAAACATCAGTATATGAAGTTTGAGGAAGTAATTTCAAGGCCATAAGTACCGAAATTTTGTTTTGACAAATTCATCGAACTGAAACTAACCATTAAACGATTAGTTGGATATTGGTGACACGCTGACCTTGAATTGCAACGCGACCGGTGCACCCAGGCCGAGGATATCTTGGCACAAGAACAACGAAAGGCTCGGCACCGAAGGCGAAACGTTCATCATACAAAGCGTCAAAGTGAAACACGCTGGCAGCTACAGATGTCTGGCCGACAACAAAATCGGAAAGCCCGCCCACGATCACATCGATATCTTTATTAACCGTATGTAGATCTTCAAACGCGATTGCGTAACAATATAAAACCACTAACATAGATTATTGCAGATAAGCCGATCGTTAACGTCGAGAAATACATCGTCAACTCTGACCACAAGAGCAATGTCGAGCTGGTATGTCACGTGAGCGCGTACCCGCCTCCCGCGGTGCTGTGGCAGAAGAACGGCATGAACCTGGAGCAAAATGAACCCAAAATCAAGTTTGCCAACGAGCGTAACAACCAGAGAAATATTCTGCTGATCAGCGATCTCCAAGAGGAAGATTTCGGAGATTACACCTGCCTGGCGCAAAATAACTTTGGTCGCTCCACGCAAAACGTTACCGTCGTGAAAACACCCGTCGTAAGGCATTTTCAGAAACCCCATAACGAGACGAAAGATGCGGTTCTGATGTGGAAGGTGGACTCCAAACAACCCATTTCGATGCATGAATTGCAGTATAGGAAAAAAGGCGTAAGTGAAATATTTAATAGCATTTTACAGAACTATGTATTGATTGTATAAATTGTTTTTCAATGTCTTCAAAACTGGTAACTATCCAAACCTGTACTGAACCTCTGAAAACAGTGCACAAATTTCGTTTCCGATATTTTAGTCACGGATTTGATTTTTGGCCATTTTATTTTGACGTTTGTCAGTTCTGACGTCCACGTCACGGTACATCTTCAGTCACTTAAGTCACTAACCAAATGAAACTTGTGGCTAAAATACCGTTTGTCAAACTTATTGCATAATATGCCGTAGCCCTTTTCTAGTTTCTAGCGGCGTCCAGATCTACAAAACTAAAATAGATTTTTGCAGTGACATAGGGTGTTGCATATTTTTCAGATTTTGAATTATTTGATTCTTACCTTCTTGTGATATTAAAAAGATGAAACGGCTTTTGGTAGATATTTTTATGTAGAATTCATTGGCATACACAACTATCCTGTTTAAAGGTGGCTAGTTTTTTGTGGAAAAACTGGATAATCTTACACTTATGGTCGGGGTGGGTATCTGTACAGGGTTAATGTTTATGTTAAAACTTGTTTGTTTGTTATTAATCAATATTTTTTTGGCCTTCTTAACGGTTGTCAGAAATATGTTTCACAAATTCTTATTATTATTGTTAACATCATGTTTTATTTTATTTTGTTTATTTTATCTGCTTAGTTTTTTCAGTAGGTGTTCTGTTAGAATTGATTGTAGCATCAAATACGAATTAAACTTTACAAATTTTTGTTATATAAATAATTAAAAAAAAAACGTATTGAGTTATAACTCATATTTGGATACTTCCACAACTTTGCAGGGAGATATCAAGATGTATTAATGAGTATGTCCAAACAACTTTTGCTAGACTCTTTTATGCAGAATTCATTGGCGTACACAACGAATTTTCTAGTATATGTATTAAGTTTTTGTTAGTGTTTGTTGGTTTTGGGTGCTCCATATAAAAACTGTGCATTTTTATCTTTTAAATAACACGAAGAATGTTGAAATCCTTGCTCCATTAAGTTACTCCTAAAGTAAGCTTATAATTTCCCAAAATCCGAAATGTGTATCGTAAAATATTCTCTCCATGGGGCAAAACGAATTTAGGTTGCACTATAAGGTATTTTTGTCACATCAATTGGGTACAATCCTCCTGATGAGGTTTAGCTACTAAGAAGTTAAAATTATGACAAGTTCTATAGCTAAAAACTGACTAAATTGTACTTTATTCTAAAAACTAAGAAAGTCCATAAAAAGTCGGCCAAATATTTCTCTATTGCAATATACCTACTACGGTAGAAATTGATGCGCAGGCTAGACTTTATCAATTGTTTTTCATAGTTTCTTCATAAGTTCCTGTATTATGAGTATAGGCAGGGCCACTACTCAAGGTACGCAAATAAAAACAATTAACTTTACCACTCGGTATAATTAAAATAATCTACCAAAATCCAGCAAATGCATATGACAGCATATTTTTTAGATTTGCAAATGTAGCAGCAATTTGTGTATTCCGTAATTCTCTAATTACCCTTCTTACTTGGGTGTAAACCCAATACAAATTGTTTTCAGTTCAATAAAAACTAGAAATGATAACCATTTTGGTGTAGGAAGGCTCATTTTATCCGGCAGTGGATGTTGATGTTGAATGTTACAATTTTATATTACACCGGGTGGCAAAGCCGATAATGTGTTATTTTGAAAATTTTAACCCTGATAAACTTTTACATAAAAAAATTGCAAAATTCCATGCATGATTTTCGAAAACGAGTTTCAAAAAAAGAAATATGTATTTGTACAATCATATATACTATTACTACAGAATAGAGCCCTGCCTATGGATAGAAGTTTTTACCGCAGCACAGCCACTATATTATCTAATAGCTATATAGGTATAATTGATCAACCTTCCTTTCTTCCTTCCTTCTTATAGTCTATAGTATAGTTTTTCAGACCCTGTTTGAAAAGTTTAGAATGAATATGGCACGCTCATTCAAGTCACGGCTGTGTGTAATTCATTCTATCTGATGCCTTTCTTTTTTTTCCCTCTTAGTTTTTATTTATTTATTTTTGTAGAGTGTAGGTTTGTGTTAAGTTTAAGACCTACTGATACACGGTGGAGCATGGACCGAAACTCAGATGTTTTATGTCGGTTTTCGCGTTTTTCGAGTTTTTATTTCTTTGAATATGTATCATCTCAATTATTTCCCTCTTTTGTGTGTTAATGTGTTTTCTCCATTATATGGCTGCTGATGACTGTTTTGTTTTTTTTATCGTACTTGTGGCTATTGATGCGATTGGCTATTCTGTCCCATGTACACTCCGCCACACAATGCGACTTTTTTTTTATCTTTGGGTATTGTTAGTTTACTGAAATTCCTATTTAACAAATTTTGACCCTTGTGACAGATTGTTACTGAGCTTCCCCTAAACACATTCGAGATTTTTTCCGATAAGTTTGGTATGTATGGCAAGGAATAATATTCTTTTTTTGATGGTTGTGTGTTTTCCTTAACAGAGATCTTGTTGTAGATTTTATGTATTTTCTTAAAAATAGAGTTAATTAAGACAATTGGGTAATTGTTTAGTTTTAGTGTGTACTTAGCTTTCTATATAGCTTCTCTTCTAGACTCTGGATCAGATAGATTTATAGCTCTATCAGTCAAGCCAATAATAACAGTCTTTTTTGTGCCATTGGAAGTTGGGAGTGGAAATTAAGCTATGGTCCAGACCATGTATCTTTTGTGTACCACATCGTTCTGATTTTGTTTTTCTTACGTATTAGTGTGATGTCTAAGAAGCTAATTTTGCCATCTTTTTCATATTCTATGGTAAATTTTATTTTTGTGTGATATGAGTTAAAACTACTCAGAATGAGGTTGCCCTTATTGGTATTGCTAGAAAACAGTCGTCGACATATGGATAGAAACAGGGTAATTTAATAGACATTTTGTCAAATAACTGTTTTTTCTAGGTATTCGAGACCCATGGCACAAACGTCAATCTGCTAATAATATTTATTATTATATATGAAATACGTCGAATTTCGTGGCTTTCACGAATTTGTCTAGTGGAGTGTCTGTGTGAAGTTTGATCATGTCCCATTTTTTTTATTTATTATGCCTATAGCTAAAACGATAGGAATGTTTGTGTGGAGGGATATATATCTAAAGATGCTAGTAGTGATTCTGTTAATTTTTTCTATAAAATGCCACGAATCTTTAATATACTATTCATTATCATTCACTAAGTTTTTTAAGATGTTTTTTAAGAATTTTGAAAATTTTTCGAAAGGGGACTGAGTGCAAGAGACAATAGGTCTTAACGGGATATTTTGTTTACGCAGTTTTGGTAAGCCGTAGATTCTTGGGGCAATAGCATTATTTTTAAATGTTTTGCAGTTTGCGGCGAGTTTAGGAGAGCTTTTTCCCATCGATTTATTATATCGTTGTTATTTTTTTTCAAATATGTTTGTGGGATTGTTTTTTAAATCTCTATATGTGGCCCTATCTGATAGAAGTTCATTTATTTTATTGTCATAGTCGGTAGTGTACATTATGACTGTTTTGTTAGCCTTATCCGGTTTTAATGTTATAATGTTAGGGTTTTGTTAACTTCGATGACACAAAAATACTTGCTACAGAACCAAACACACAAAAGAGGGAAATAATTGAGATGATATATATTCAAAGAAATAAAAACTCCATAAACTCGAAAACCGACATAAAACATCTGAGTTTCGCTCCACGCTCCACCGTGTATCAGTAAGTCTTAAACTTAACACCAACGTACACTCTAAAAAAATAAATAAATAAAAACTAAGAGGGAAAAAAATAAAGGCATCCGATACAATGAATATTTATTTTGCACTTTTATTTTTGAACCTTACGCAAAGCAAGAACGAAAACACTTCGAACACGGAGCGCGAGCATTGAAGATGCCGGATGAGATCATTTCGAAACGTCTGCAGAATTCCAGTCGGGCTCAGGATTCCAGGGTTTCGAGTGTTCGAAAAACAGTGTTTCGAGTGTTGGAAGTGTTTTCGGAGCGCAACCTATTTATTGCTTACAAAAGGTTACGAAACGCTATATTGCAGGAACCTAACTGGAAGACGGTTACACCAGACGTAACAAATGCCACTGAAGGTGATACGTACACCATCAAGTATGTCCTCACGGGCCTGGATCCTGGGTTATATGAGGCGCGTGTTAGATCTCAAAATATCCACGGCTGGTCGAATTACTCTCCTCCTTTACCATTTGAAGGTGGTACGTATATATTATGACTGTCTCCTTCTTTATGCCTTAAGTCCGCGGTCGCCAACCTGTCGATCGCGAGGCAATTCTGGTAGCTCTCACAAAGATTTTAATTTAAAAAATATTGCAAAAATCAGAGAAGCTTCAAAATTCCACAAAAAAATCTAATTGTCATAATATTCTTTGTGGATAGCTCACTGTTTATTCCTAAATTAACAAAGTAGCTCAACACATTGAAGAGGTTGGCGACCACTGCCTTATGTTTTTGTGTGAGTGTTCGTGTGACATTTTACCAAAGTGTAAAGAATAATATGTAAAGTTGCCTCACTATTGTACGCCTCTCTTCAGTCTTTTTTTGATGAAACAGGGGATAATAAACCTTATTTTTGTGGCATTTACAAATAGGGATGATAAAAAAAAATATTTCAAATATGCCCAATAGAAAATATATATCATTTTTATAAGTCACTTACTTCACTTGTTGCGGTGTGAGAAGTTTCAGCAGAACTATGCGTGATTTCTAAGACAAGATAAACTTGTTCATTGGTTACACTGGAAACTGAGACAAGTCAAAAAGTAAAAAAAAAAACAACAAAAGTAAAACGTGTTACTTTCCTTTCCCGTCACATCGTCCCCGGTTGTCCACAAAGCGGGCAGTAGAGTAAAAACAAAATACTTATAATTCGATTGCAGTGGTAATATTCTGGAATAAATTATATAGTAGTTTTTCAAACAATGCAACAATGAAATAATATATTAATAGTTAAAGGGGTCTTTAACGAATTAATCACAACGTATGCTCTGCCTAATTCCCGATTAACTACGTAATTATAGCTCTGCCTGTCAAGGTTAATGTCTAGTATAGTTTAACTTAGGAAAGCAGTGCTCTAACTAGGACGTATTATGATATCATTCTAATTCATGTGTAAGTTAATCAAATTTTTATTATTTTGTTTCCTTCAAACAGACAATTGAATTTACTTTAAATATGTAGCAAATAAATTTTAAAGAAAACTTTTTATAATTATATAAAATAATCGTTGACACTTGACAATGACCAGTAAAAATATTGTTTTAATTTTTGCCAAACATTTAAGGTTTCTATGCGTTTAGGAACTTGTATATTTTTCTACACACTCTGGTGTTACTAGGTAATAACAATCGTGTTTTGTTGTGTGCGTCCGTGTTTGCTTATTGTGAGTCCTTCGTTCATAACATGCTTTTTTGCACAGTTTTAGCTAAGCACACAGCACATCAGAAAAGCAAATACCACAAAAAGGACCAAAAAGGAAAAGACCAAAAAGGTATCCACTTTACACTGAGCTTTAACCATTTTCCCCATTCTGTATAATAATTTACTTCCAAAACTAACAAATATTTTAATCCATTTTCTTTCCACGCAGACATGTCACTCGATACACCCGCACAGCATCGTAGCGAGGAGTCATCTTTAGGAGGTAGATCATTTTCAATTTTTTTTTTATCTTAAAACGAATTAACTTTCGTTTGCGCCTTGTTTTTATCATCGCAAAAGTGGTTCTTTATAAAACGTTACCGCTATTTTATTTTATTAATTTTTATGAATCAATAATGGCAGGAAGACTTTTTGATACAGGGCATCCAGGAAAATGAAAAATTATAATTGAGATAGAAAAAAATAGATAAAAAATAATTATTTATATGAACTGGAAACCACTGGACAACGTCTTAAAATAAATTTAATTTTTCGTAAGGGCTTTTGCAATTAACTTTACATTAATGAAAAGTATCAATTGCACGTATAAAATACCAATATCATATTTCAACCATTTTGTCATCCATGGAAACGCCTTTTTTTATTATTTACTTCAAATTGAAGAGTTTGCTTCAATTACGTGAATTGCGTCGGTTGTTGAGGAATCGTTCTTGTTGACGTTTCGCCGATCACATTGTTGGCTTCTTCATCCTGACCCAAAAATCATCGGTTATCAACTCTCTTGTTTACAAAACCATACAATTATCTCAATTCGAGTCACTGAACCCAGAATTAAAACACGTTGCCCGCTCTTCTCTCTAATTATTTCGACATTAGAGAGATTGTGCCTTCCACGACAAAACCTCCCAAAGAAGATGAATCTGAATCCAATCCCACATTATCACTGCGGTCGTACATTCAAAATATCACTGACCACATATCATATATTATGCATATGTGACAAAGAATACAATGCAGAAACAGTACAGAAATATCAATTAGGCTAAAACAACCAATAGGACAGGGTGATACACTCATCGAGGTTCTATTCAAATTAACTATTTCAAACGTTTTCTTCCGAGCCGTGGGTATAGTTTACAAAAAATATAAATAGATCAATCAGTTTTCAAATTAAATAGAAACTCATTAACTACTATTAAAAAACGAGAAATTTAAATTTAAGACCACCGCTAAAATTGTATCACCCTGTATGAATCCACAAACGAATAATTTCACACTTTCAACAGTTTGGAAATGTAAAATGTGTACCAAACTTCAATTCGTTGTTAAAAAACTGGTTCACTATGGTTTTGAATATTTTGCAATTGACTTGAAACTGAGCCCATGTTTCCTCGAAAACAGATGCTTCTAACTTTACTCTTTTATGTCCTACTTAAAGCCGACACATTTGCCTAGATGCCCATATAGAAAGTTTTACCTACGTATATCTCCAAAAAATTTTCACACACACACAGTAGCAAAACATTTATCAACATTGGAAATATTGACTTATGATATTGTTTTGCAGCATCTACGCATAGCGGAAGTGTTCGCAGGTCACCGTTGTCAATGCAAATTTTTGCAGTCGGTGCCATTTTGTTTTCGCTGCTAGTCCACGTCAGGCAGTGAGCAGCTTTCCAAGCAACTGCTACCCGTTTGTTTTATAGGTATCGCAGATCCAGAAAAAAAACCAAAGTATTTTGCTTTAGCGACGTCAAATTTCAAGTGCGTTGTGAATGTTTAACCACTGCTGCGTGTTGTTTAATCAACACTTCGTTCGACAACCTCTTGAAACCTTATGCAAAAAATTATATAACGGGGGCGCGTGGGGTTGAATATTCTGTGATCTTGTTATGAACTGAATAAAAGAAATTTGTTGACTCGGGGACAATCTTATAAGATGCCATATTTTTTTAACTGTGTAATTGTAAATTAAAATTTATTTATAATTGTATAAGTTACCTGTAATGTAATTTCCCGAAACAATCATGGCGCGTCTTTTTTCATAGAAAAGTTTTGATTTACACTGAAGAATTTTTGTTAAAATTTTCCTAATACCAAACTATGCAGCTAATGGATAGGTAGTAAAGTTGTTTGGTAGAATATTTTTTCCCCAATTATCCTTTATTTTATTTCTTTAATTTCTTAAAATATGGATAAAATTAACTGCGATCATTAAACAGCAAAATGAAATTAACAATGTCGCGTTATTGCCAAGATTGTAGGATGTTAGGTTGGTCAGTATTTGTTGTATCTTTTCTCTGACGCCATGAAAACGTAATTGAAGAGTGAATGTAACAAAGTGCGAAAAGGTAAGTTTTGAGATATTCGCGAAAAATGTAATAAAAACAGAAAGCTGATAAACTAAATAAAACTGAAAATGAAAACCATGAAATGAAAAAAAAAAAGAAAAAATGAATATATTATATGTATATATAATCTGTAGATTCTTGTAAGTCCTGATGCAGTGGATTACTGAGATAGGGCAACAGAGAGCGAAGACTTTTCTTCCTGTTTTCAGATATTTTGTTTTCTGATGGAAGTCCAAGTAGTTCAACATTTAGCAAATCTTCTATTGTTCTACCCTTCAGAATATTGGTTTCAGTAAATACAGATACAGAAAATACAGTTTTTGTCTTCCTATTTGCGGGATTATCTCTGTCGATCTGTATTATGACTGCTTTGCTGATTTGAAGCTTTGAAATGTTTAGATGTCCATATTGTTCACTTCAAATAGGGGGTTCTACCTTGCTGATTAAATGGCATTGACCAGATCGCCTGGTATGATAAAGCTATGCCCGCTGATAAGAAACTTAATTTGTATTGAATGGTAAAAGTCTTGAGCTACCAAGGATATCAGAACAAACTAAACATTCTACCATAATTTTCCAAATTAGTTAGACACTGACATTGGCACTCTCCTTTGATGAGAAATAATACTGACACTTACCTGTGGCATCTATTTATTTTTATTGAAGGGGCTAATATTAATCACAACACTTACTGCTTATGCCAGGTAAAATTTGGCACTTACCACCTTAGTTACTTCCATTCTTCAATTGTACTTTCCTTCTAGTCTACATATACGTGTCCATTTCTTTAAAATTACTTTGAGCTCTTATCACCGACATGAACTTTTCTTATTCCATTTCGGGTCTTGTATATTTTAGCTCGGTAGGTTATTTTTTAAGTTTTATATTTTTAGAATTAATTTTATTATTAATGCATCTGTACATATAACTATTAATTTCTTCATTATCATCGTGTGACGTGTATTTATGAATTATCTTATAAAATTTACTTACTAATGTATTTATGTAAGTAGCAGAAATGCCTAATGGTCAAGTCAGTAGTAAGGAATGCGTGTATCCTGCGTACCAAACTGAGATGGGTTGGCATCATGACTGACGTAATCTATACCTTAAAGATATGTGTTTTGTGCTGTTATAGAATCATTTTGCAGTATATTCGATGCTTTTGATACAAATTAAAAACTATCGACTTCCTATTCTAAATTGAGGAACATTTAAATAAATTTGGAAACTACCGATCGACCAAACCAAACTGTCATATCGCCTTTTGTAAAAGATTTTTTCGTTGAGTCTGACGTCGATGGTTTTTAGATTTTTATACAAACTGTATATTGTAAAGAAAATATAATAAAGCATAATATTTAAAGTTTCTTAGCTATTTGCGGTGTCAATTTACCGGGTTTGAGTAAAATCCTTTAGCGAGTGATATTTTTATTTTGTAGAAGCAAATCAGACAAGTAGAAACAAAGCTTATACACCATCGGGATCTCGAAAACGATTTCAGCGTGTTAATAATGTACATAATAGAACTTTGTTTTTTCAAGAATACTTCTTAAAAAATTTGCTATATTTAAAGTTGCATAACCTGCTGCAATTCGTTCCTAAAGCATGATTGCGATAGCAATTTTAATTGCCCAATGTATCGAAGTGAATAAGTCAGGAATGGTCTTAACTGTTACGGTAGCTTCTTGTTGCTTCCGGAAATATGGTGCGGTTGTATCTTTTTGTCAGTTTATTTTTAAAAATAGGAAAAACTGCAAGTGCTGGAAAAAACAAAGGCTTCTATGGTATAGTGTGCGGTAATAAGGTACCACTGATAGAGATACCGGGGCAAAGCGAAATGGAAGGTAACGAGAAACCAAAAGCTGAGACATTACTCAATAAGTTCGCAGAGGATGTGCAGGAATGCAATCAAACGGGCCCAAGTAGCACATAAATTTTGTTATTCTACTAAAAGTTATATATTTGATTTATTCTTATTCCGTCTAAGGGCAAATAGTTGAATAAAGCTCTCCAAGGTCATCAATATGCATGAGACTAAGGCATGTTTAAAGGCTTTGTTACAAATGTGTTTAAACATTGATTTTAACAATTTATTTTATAATTGTGATAAAATGATTTTATTAACATTATATTTAATGATGCTTGTAATAAAATAATCGAAACAGCGAATAAAGTAAAAAGCACTTTAAAATAGCAATTACATCTCTTGCGACATTTCAGAAAAAAAGCGAAAAATAAATCAAATGGTTGCCACATCATCATCCCCTGCTAAGTTGTAATGTAAAACCTGTTTATTCAAGGGACGAAGAGAATACTACGGAACTTTTCGAAAGCAGTAAAAATATTAAGGGGGATTAACGCATTCGACTATAGGCTACTTTCTGTAATATTTTGCATTTTGCATTAAATGAGATAATAGCTGATGATAACCAACAATAATTACGATTATAAACTCTAAAGGATTATAGATTCTATAAGAATACATCATAGTCTAAATTTCTCAAAACAAATGATTATTAAAAACCAAAAGCCAATAATTTCCATACAAAATATAACTTGGTATCTAGAAAATGTAAAAACAAAGCAGAAACAACTTTATCATATATCAAAATTGTATTATAAAACTAATTTCAAACACAGTTTAATTTTATAGGTATGCCATAAATGATTTAATTCAAATCGCCATGTTTTCCATTGTTGAAATCGAAATGGAGGCAACCATCTTGTCGTAAATCACATTAATATTAATAAAGTATATTAAAACCTACGATCGTAACATCGTATTTGACATTCAGAGTATAACAGAACCCCACGCAATGCTCTTTAATTTTATTAGAAACAAACAATTTTTAAATATAATTAAAAAAAATTGTAAATATGGACAAAATTTAATCTACAAATATATATGTATAATATCAGTTGAGCTGGTGAGAGTAGTCCGCAGTACATAAAGGTATTACATACCTATCCAATTTAAGCGAAAGCCGAAGTTCACAGGCTCACCCAAATAATTTAGGAGAGCATTTAACAAATCATTTTTGTCGGCATTATTATCTAATAAAAATAAAAATAGTTTTTTTCGTGATTCTTGCAAAATGAAAATCTCATTGCTAAGTTGTTAAAGTCCCGTACAACACAGATTGTTTTTAAATGAAACGTCTTCAATGCTGCTATATAATTATTTTATAAGTATTCCGTAATGCTGTTTTACCTAGTGTTGGGACTAGTCAATTGACCGAGAATTGACCACTTCTTAATTGACTAATCAAAAAAAATTTTAAATAATATCTTGCAATTGTAGAATTTGATCTATTTACTAATAATATGTATTTTATAATAACTTATTATGTGTTTGTGATGTCCAATTTACATCCAAAAAATATCTGAATACGATACATAGGGATTCAGGGAATCTCAATAAAAATATCAACTCCATTTAGTTCCCAGAACAACGCGACAGCGACGTAACTCACAATATGAATAACGATAAACAAATACATTTAAATTTAATGGTATTTTTAAAATTATTTTGGTCAATTGACCGGTGAATTCCACAACTCTAGTTTTACCTCTAATGACCTTTTGAAATGATTGATGATTGAATAATTTTATAGCATTGTCACAGAAAACAAAAATGTTATTTAGGATCATCCGGGACCTCACTTGCTATTAAAAAACTGTTATGGTAAATATTGTAAGATAATTATTATAGGCGATCATTTATTGGATACAATTGTTTTATAAACTTGCGCCTTTTCCGTGTTTATAAGGGCCGTATTAAAGGTTACCAGTTATATTTAAATACAAAAGTTATATTAAAAGTTGTTATAGAGATATGACATTTTTCAGCACGTTTGTGCTATTTGAGAGGAAACTGTGACTACCGGGGTTGACTCATTCGAAGCGGCCTCAAATATCATAAGCGCAAGGTCAGCTTCGCTAATAATGTGCAGATGTAGGAAGAATGATATACTCAAAGATTAGCTTAGAATAACTAATTTACCATGGAATTCTTGGAGGAGTATGCTTCAATAGGTGCAACTGTGAAAAAATAAGTATATGATTTCTACACAAGGTTTCAGCAGCGCTCATAACTGATTCATTTACTTTGCCATCGATAACAATACCAAAATACCACAATTCCATATGGATTATCCCAATAGTAAGCAGCGAATTTACAACAAATTTAATATTCTAACATAATATTATCCAGCGATTTCCTCTCCAGATCCGGCACTTTACAGTCCTTGGCAGGATAACCAACTGGCAGTAGCAGGCTCAGCTTCTCAGAAGTGGGGCGATTCAGCAATGCTCTTAAGGCCGGTCCGCAGTTTAAAGGCGTCGACGTTAATGAAACCAAGCCGGCATTCTGGACAGTATGTAAATAAATAAATAAATGAGTTTATTTCAAATAGTGGTATAACAAAACACGAAAAGAAATAGCGTCAAACCCATTTTACAAAGTGGGACAAAAGCCAGTTAAGGTGTACAGGGTCATGCATTGCCGAACGGGGAACATAGAAAATCCCATGCAAATTCATATGTGACTAAATATTGGCTCCTCAGTACATTTTATAGCAAAGTTGTAATATAACTTTTTGATTAACTCATCTGCCGAGTTTGAATCAATTTTAATAAGCGAATCTTAAGGTATTGAATTACATATGATGGCAAAATTAGAACATTTTTATAGTTTAGGTAATAAATCCAGTAAATTAATTTTTGACAAAGACAATATGAAAAATTGAAGAAAAATTAGCCATAAGTAAGTGGTGTTATGCAGCAAAGCCTTGGGGGCAGTATCTGAAATGTTTTCAGTTTATTTTGCTGCTAAAACTATAACTTCGAATTCAAGAATTAAACCGATCATTACCCAATTTGAATCCAAAGGTATTGCAATAGATAACTGCAAATGTTCATCTGAAAATGTCGATAATTGAGCAGAAGAAACGAACAATAGAAATTTGAAAACAAAATGATTAGAAAGAGGACAAGCTGTAAATAAACATCAAACCATAGTTTGGCGCATATTTAAAAAAAAAAAACAAATATTTTTCCTACAAATACGAAAAACAGCAAGAACTCCGGGAAGGCGATAAAGGAAACAGGGTAGCATTTTGTTTTGAAGTGATGGAAAAAGCAACAAAAGCGAAAACCTTCACCGGTTCTTGCTGAACAGATTAGACTTGCTTAGAAAGTCGACCATTTTGTAAAAATCCAGGTAAAAGATTGCTAATTACCTAGCACCTTGGGATCCACATTTTTATGTATGAATTTTATACTGCCGTTTTTAATTTTCAGGGAAAACACCACAAGTTAATATAGGACCTAGAATATATAGGACAAAGTTTTTATTTCACTTACTGGTATTTCAATAATACTGTTAATAATATTTCTTTCCCAAAGACAACTACAAAATCGTATAGAAATAGTCAAAATACATCATAGGTATAACGGAAATATAAAAAACCATTTACTCAAAAAATTCGTCTAGACTATAAAATGTTATGGATAACAAAAATATTTTTAATCGTTTTGGTTAGCGTTTGTCTCTTAACTCCAAGGGCAGATTGTCAAAAATACGAAAACCCAAATAATCAAGTGACCTCGAAGTCGAAATATCTGTGCATGTACTTAACTTTAACTAACTTAAAATTAGATAAATTTTTAAAGACATACAATGACATTTCAAAAACGAAAAGGCTCGCCAATGTGAGAATTGTGTACTGGGCAAATAAACTCCTACAAGTTGGAAATTTGTGGAAAACTCCTTAATATATATTTTTGAACCAAAAATTCTTTATCTGCATTTACAGATGCTCCCCATAAATTAATCCTATGACGTAATCGGGCCTCCAGCTTCGCATAGTATATAGTTAAAATCTCACGAAGATTTATAAAAAGATACTTTATTTAGGGTTGAAATAAGACAATCAGAATGAGACTTCCAGTTTAAAAATTCATCCAAACTGAATCCTAGACACCTCCCAGCAGATGATGTAATTGCTTAAGCAGATATTAAAATGATCGCATTGTTTCGGATAGTTATGAAACCTTATATACAACACCATATATCACAAAAAACTTATCACGTAAAACTTTCAATATACAATTTACATGTAATATCAAGAGTACTGGGCCTAAAACTGAACTTTGAGAAACATCCATCTCTCTGCGTTGACTAGCTGAATTTACACTTTTCATTCTCTTAATGTTATAAAACTTAGGGGATACAAATTGAGAACGATCTTCTAAAAAACTACTGATCTAATCTAGAGGCTTACCCCTTATACCCGAAGCGTGCAGAGCTTCCCCAAGTTCCGTAAAATCAACCCAATCAAACGCCGTACTTATGTAGAAAAAAATTCCAACCAGGCATTCACCATCCTCATTAAGAAATATGAATACAGAAGAAGTTGACCTCTTCAAGACAGCATACTCAAACACTTTAGAAAAACTATTTAAAATTTTTACCGGACGGTAGTTCTCCCATAACTGGCGACTACTGTTTTGAAAAGTCGCACAACTCTATTTCTTTTTAGACACGATGGGAATGTGCCACTTAGAAAAGACAGATTCACCTAGAATGTTAGCTGACCTATTATCAAACCCAATACTCACCCAATACTTAACAAAAACTTTGGTATGCTATCGGATCCAAAAGACTTTCTTTTTTATTTTTTTTTTTGAAGTATGCAAGATCTTCTCCTCCATAAAAGGTACCATATAAAAACTGATCATTCACATCCATAATAACACTCAGACCAATCTTTTTGTTAGCCGACTGAATGGAACTAACAATATTTTGGGAGCACAAAACAGTTATTAAATATAGGCGCCACAATATTAGCCTCATTCTGGATTTTATTGCTCTCCTTATTCATTAAATTAAAATTCTCAACACTGGACCGACATTCATTCGACAACCCCGAAATCACTATCCAAGTAACTCTATAAGGTTCGACAGAATCATAAACAAATTTGTCACTGATAGAAGGCTTTTTTGGTTTCAAGAAACGATTTTTTATATTCGACTTAGTGGTTTCATTTCGAAATACTTCAAGACATTAATTCGCAGCTGGTTTTTACCTGAATCGCTGCCAAAAGAAATCCTGCTGCCAAAACCACGCTCTGTTCGTTGTAGTAGTGCAACTTTTTTGTTCCGTTCGGCTTCTGACTGTGCGTCTGCTTAAAAACCAATATCAGATGGGGCGCATCTGTCAAGTATTCCTTGATCCAATTCGTCCTTAGGGGCTTTATGTCGGTGGTCCATTCGTTTCCCATACGCTTTCTATAATTTATTTCCTCTTCCTCCTCAATTATTTCGCGAATTTTCTTCTTTGTTTCTGCAGAGCTCACCAATGCAAACGTCCACGGTTCCGTATGAGCCCCGCTTGGAGCCGTACCTGATTAGAAATTTTATTGTAATCATTATTTTAATTATTTTATTTAAAGTATTTGCTAGATATATATAGACATATACATACATGGTGTTGTTTATTTATTTATTTATTACAAGTTTAGGTCGCTTACAGTACTTACTACCAAAAAATAGCAACCACAATGTTAGTTGAAATCGGTGGATTTATACAAAACAAACATAAGTCGGATGTAGAACATTATACAAAAAGAGGAAGATATTTGACACTCATACGCTGCTAAGTTACACTATAAGTCATAATAATGGAGTATTTGATATATCGTTTAAACTGCATCTGAGACATTGACGAGATGTCGAGGTTAAAATTCGAGTTAAGTGTATTACACGAACTTTGCATTCTTAGCAAAGGGGAATGCTGCCCTGTGTTGGTTATACTATATGGGATTTCAAAGATATTGGCGTATCTTAAATCTCGAGCGAGAATTCTAAAGTTGAGTTTCGACAAAAGATATGGAGAATCAATTTGTGAGTTTGTTTTTTTGTAAAGCATACACAAGTCTGCCACAGTCCGTTTGTCTTCCAAACTAAGTATTTTGAACCGATTTTTAATTGCGCGATAATCTCTTTCTTCTATACGAGTGTGGGTCCTAAGAGCGAGAAATTTTAAGAATTTATTTTGAGTGTTCTCGATTCTGTTGATATGAACTGCGTAGCGTGCATTCCAGATAACAGATGCGAAGTAAATCCTACTTTGCATAAAAGTATAATACAAGGAAATAAGCGTTCTGGAATCATTGAAGTCTCGGGAATTTCTATTAATAAAACCAACCATTCTATTAGAATCATTTATTTTTCTTTCTATATGGTGTTTAAATGACCACTTTGTGTCAAGTGTAACTCCCAGATCCCTTATTTCGTTCATTCTTACCAGGTCATTGCTATTTATTTTATAAGTAAAATCTCTTTTGTTGACTTTTTTGGTGAACGAAATACGGTGGCATTTTGCAGGATTTAGAAAAAGCTGATTGTCACTGCAGTATCTTTCAAGAATGATGAGATCCGGCTGCATTTTAAGGCAGTCCCTGTGGGTCGCTACGATACGAAATAATTTCAGAAAGTCTGCATAAAGCAGTATATTGTAGTATTCAAAACAGTTTCTTATATTGTTGATATATATAATAAAAAAATAGTGGGCCCAGGTGACCACCCTGAGGGACTCCAAACGTTGCATGAAGCGGGTCTGACACATGTCCAGTAATCGACACAGCACTCTCTCTCTCAGAAATATATGATTGTGACCACTTCACAAGTGGGCTGCAGACTCCCACCTCAGCAAGTCTCGTCAACAACAGTTGTTGGATAATTTTGTCAAAAGCCTTGCTGAAGTCGGTGTACACAGCATCGATTTGAAATTGGCCGTCTATATGGTTGGATATGTAATCGGAAAAGCACAGCAAGTTTGTCTCCAAAGAACGTCTTGGGAAAAAACCGTGCTGCTCCTCGATGATAATATTTTTAATGGTAGGTAGTATACGACTGTAAAATATTTTTTTCAACATTTTACCAAACACACATAATTTACTTATTGGTCTGTAATTTTGAACATTGTTTTTTGATCCACTCTTAAGGATTGGAGTTACTTCCGCAATTTTCCACTTTTTCGGAAAAATGCCTGTACTAAGGGATAGGTTATAAATAATATTTAGGGGTTGGACAAGGTTAGAGACACATTTTTTTATAAATATCGGGGGAATACCGTCAGACTTATTTTTATTATATTTATTAATTATTTCAAGAAGGTCCTTGTTTGCAATGCGCTGGATACTATCAGAATCATTGTGACCATTGTTACTGTTGTTATTTATAGAATTGGGCTGAACATAAACGCTGCGATAATAATCAGCGAACAAGTTACTGACTTCCCTGCATCCAGTAGCCTTCTGCCGTTTTATATTACTGTATTTGGTACTGACTCGTTGTTTTTTCTTTTAAATTAAAAAAAAAATTAAATTTCCAAAACTTTTTGGAGTTTTGTGAAATTTCGAACTCAATATAATCATTGTAATTTCTGTATCTAATCACTCTTTATCAATTGTTTTGATAGAGACCGGAGTTCGCAAAATCGGTTATAGGCGTTTTGATCGTTAATCTTTTTATTTTTTTAATGGAATTTGTTTTTTTGTTGTATTATTTTTATAGTTTGCTATTGAAAGTATATTCGAAAACGGCCTTTAATTTTACGCACTGGGACAAACCGGTGTATGCTATCATTTATTATGTTATAAAGTCTTTCGACCAGTGTGTTGAGTTCCCTATCAAGGAGCATTTGTTTCCAATTAATTTGTGCTAAATAATTTTTAACCTCATCGAAATTAGTTTTATTAAAATTAAGTATCTGCACATTATTTTGAGAGGCTCCCTTAGAATAAGATGTATTCATAAGAACTCCAGTGCGCTGTGATTGCGGTTTTCTTTAACTAAATAGTCATGGAATCGACCTACTTGGGTAACAGAATCGCTTTTATTGCTCAAAACTAAATCAAGAATTTTATTTTTATTATTGTTAACATTACAAAAATTGCATTCAGCCCAAATAGAAAAAGGCATCAATAATGTCGGCAAATTTGTTTCCTGTTGGAACAGGTTCAAAAAACGATTCCTTGGTAATAGGAACCCAGTTCACAGTGCTAAGGTTAAAATCCCCCAGAAGCAGAGCAGCATTTTTTTGAAAAATGTTTTCAAGCAAATATATGTTGCTTACGAAAACGCCGACCGAATAATCACAGTTTGGTGGTAGGTAGATGCAACATACAAAGACGCGCTTAGCTTTAGATGTTTGGACCTAGATCCAGATGTTCTCTGCCTCCGACTCTATGTCCACACAACGAACTGATAACTATTTTTGACTGCGATTAAGGAACCTCCTCCGTCAAGCTTTGTTGACCCGGTGCTTTCTCGATCTCTTCGATAGACTATATAGTTATTACTTCATAGCGTGGCGCTTAAGCCAGGTTTCTGTTAAACATATAATATCGTAGTTGGTGGCAATCAGATTTTTGTAAAATTCATCTGTTTGGGTTCGTAGACCTTGCGTGTTCTTTTAGTATACATGTAGATTGTGATTATAAGCCATTGCGGAATGATAGGGATGTTAATAATTTATAGTCGACTACCATTCTTCGTCCATGTGAACTTACATTGTTTTCCTTTGGCAGCAGATCTAGTCTCTTCATATACAATTTTATTTAACAATGTCAGATGTTCGTTGATGTAAAAGCTGTCTGAGACATCGTCTATTTGCATCTTTGGAGAGCCATTTTCCCTTTTCATACGTTTTTGTTTTGCTATTGCGAGAAAATTCTCTATGTCTCTCCGAGTGGTAAATCCGACAATTATGTTTTTAGTTTTATTGTTCGAATTTTTATTGGCTTGCACTGAGTGTACATATTCGATTTTTTCGTTAACAAAGGTACCTATTTTTTGAATAATGGTCTTTAGGTTTTCGTTTGACTTTTCTAGGATGCCCTGTATTTCAACATTATTTAGGCGACCTAGCTGTTCCAAATCATTCACCTTCCATTCCAAGTTTGAGACATCGGTTTTTAGCTTCGCATTTTCCTTTAGAAGCCACGCATCCATTCGTTAATTCTGTTAAGTTTTTCTTCAGTCTGACACCTTGTCGGAGCAGAAGGTGACCGAGTTTGAAAAGACGACTTGTTGCTCTCGAATAGTACGTAGCTCCGCAGTGACTTTTTTCATTGCAGCTAAAAGATCTCCGTTACTTACGCTCACGGTAGCAGCCCCACCGAGACACGTCCGCTAGCTGAAGCAGTCGGGATTGTTCGATAGGTACCGTGCGATGGTCTTACGAAGCATTGTCGATATCGACAAGCGAAGACCGAGAACGGAGCCCAGTACCGCGGCAATCGGCGCATTTCCAGCTAACCCCGTCCACACGTAGGCTGTCGAGCTGTTTAGCGACGATGCCCAGCCACTCGCGGTGAAAAAAACGCTCGCAAAAACCACTGCACTGCATTCCGAGTCTCTTTCTGTTCACGCTGCCTTCGCAAATTTTACATTGTTTAATATGTTTGACTATCGAGAAAAAAAAACACAATAACTACTTTGGTTAAACTACACTTAATTGACACTGTTCAGTTTTCATTTTATTATTTTTCGAGTTCTTATGAATTTATATATATAAACCTATAGCTTATCGATTGGCCGCGAGTACAGCACCAAGAAGTTATTCTTCTTCCTTTCCTCGCGGTATTAAATTCTTGAACTTAACTGGCCATCTATACCCGCCAGCGCCCTTAGGCGCATGCTCCACTAAAAATCACGGTGAAGCGCTAAATCGGTCGCTCTCATCGTGTGGTTCAAAAAGTGCCGTTGAACGCATCAGGTCATACGCGTGGTGATCAACAAATATCCTCACCACTCGAGGCACAGACGACGCAGCACGGGCCGGCCCCTCCGGAAGGAAGACCAAAAGCGAGGTAGGGTCAGTTAAGTAATCCTATCTTGAGTAATTTTTGCGACTTCTTGCTGTGCCAGCTGCGGCCAAAGTCCGTTTCCGCGCGGACAAAACATTTTTGGTCCTTACGAGCCCAATTAAAAAGAACTAACTTTTATCTTATTATTGTGCAATCAATATTCTCAATTTGAAATTCACGATTACGTGCTATGCTTTGCGAAAAATCTGTTTATTCCTTTACTTTTTTTGTGTATGAAGGCCATTAGCATCGACACAAAAAGATCAGTACGTTTTTTTTATATATACAGATTCGCATTTGATTTCAATCGACTGGATCTCGGTTTCAAACATTGTTTCGTTTTAACGTTCAATATCGGAACGGCCAGAGTTTCAGGCGTATTTATTTACTTTTTTGTCGAATTTCTTTCGGTCTAGTTGAAACTCGGAACAGTTTGGTTTTCATTTTTTTATTATCATTATTATTATTTGAGTAATATCGCTTTTCTCTCTGAATCTGCGTAGTGTTCGATAGGTTTTTATAATGGCAA